TCGGGGTATTTCAGTAATATAATTCACTATTTTATTTTCAAGTATATAAAAAAATAAATTATAGAAAGAAATTTAATTTATTAATTAATAATAACTTGATCTTATCTAAAGTTTACTACGGAGATTTCTTTTATTCTTTCTGGCACTTAATAATAAAAAGAAAAACTACAATAATAGTGCAATTACAATTGAAAAATTAGAGTGACAGTAATATATATAATTATTAATATTATTTTACGTTTTTATTCATAAAACAAAAACAAAAAGATACAGATAGTCCCCCTATAAAAAATTACCTTTTCTTTTTTTTTTTTTGTTTTCTTCTCATTTCATTCTATAAACATTGGTTTTCTTTTCTTATATGAGATACAAAAAAGGAAATAGTCAAATATGAATAAATCATGCTAGAAAGCTAAACCATAAAAATAAGTCAAAATAGAAAAAGTAAAAAAAAAAATGTAAAAATAGCAATGAATTAATTAATATAACTTTGCTTAACCCTATAAATAGATTTATCTGACCGTGTTAAACAAGTTGACATACTGTTGTAAGAATTTTTAATGTGGGCTACTATTAATTGTGAGCTATTTTAATTTGTAAAACAAACTGAATAAATATAATTTAAAAATATTTATATGGAGTCCAATTTATATTTATGTGATACTTGTGTAATAGGCTTATGCACCTTTAGTGGGCCACTATATTTAAACATTAAAGTGTAGGTTTAATTCTATAAGGACTTGTGATGAAAAGGTCCAGTATATTTAAACACTAATTTTGGCTTGCCCTATTAAAAATTGCCTGCGCGAATAAGGAGATAGAAAGAAAAATTTAGTCTTTATCACACAAATACTAATTTTTTTTGCGAGTAATGGTTACAGAAAATACAATGAATCAAATCAGAAATTCTGCTTCAAACCATAAATTAGATACGTAGATTATTTTCGCTTTATAATAATTATTACTATTCTAAATTTAAGTACTAAATCAAAGCTTTATCTTATTTGTGGTATCAGAACCTAATTGTACATGAATTTTAAAACATAATTAGAATTATTATGAATAAATTCTTATTGATATTTTGTGTGATTGTTCTTCGTTTTTCGTTTCGATAAGAATATATATAAGGAATATTATATAATATATATATATATATATATATATACACGCCGCTGGATTTGCAAAGGCAATCGATTATGCATATATCATCACAAATTTACTTTTCGTAAAACCAATTAATTTTGTTGATTTAACGATTAAAATTGATGCCGTGTTTAAGGCGATTTCTCTTATTGATCGTTACTGTATTCGTGATATACATGGTATCTGACACAGACTTCGATAAAGAATCTGATTTGACTAATCTAATTATTATTTTCTTTTGTTTAATGTAGTTTGATTGATTACGAGGATTATATAATATTATAATTATATTATATACATATATAAATGTTTGACCCAAAGTTGGGGCTGGCACAGTCACAGTTCAATTTGTGTTGACATAACAATAATAAAAAAAAAAAAAAAATATATATATATATATATACATATATAAATGTTGACCCAAGTTGGGGCTGGCACAGTCACAGTTCATTGTGGTGACATAACAATAATGCCATGTGAAATTTTAAGCAATTGTCTTGACGATGTAACGACTTATTATTGATTATGTGATAGTGTAGTGTTGCTCGTATCATCGTCAAAATTTCAATTAATCAGATTTTGTGAAAACTGTCATCGCTGGCCACCATATGTAGTGGTCGAAAAATCAAATCAATTAAGAAATTTGCCTACTATACATCAAAGCGATCATAATTTCCCGAAGATCTCAGTTGTGCTATTAATTTTATAAATTTTATCAATTTCATTAAAAGCCCCAAATTGTCGAAATCAAACCTAAATTTTAAAATCTTTTCATCAAATCTTTAAGTCTAATAAAAAGTCAAGTTTAGTTCATAGAAAACTATGAATTCAAGCTTATCTCAATAAGGATTATGGCTAGAATCGTGAAATCTAACGAAAAAGCTCAAAATAACAAAATTTGAATTTCTTAGTTTGTAAAAATAAGAACTTGATTGATCAAACGGTGATCAGATATAGAATTATCGTAATTGGAGGAGTATTTACCATCTTATTCTCGTTAAATGGTGGCTGAAGTTTGATTGGAGAAGAAGAGGCGGTAAGCCCCTTTCGTCTTTTTGATGTAAAGAAAGAAAGAGAAGGAGAAGAAAATATGATTTTTTTTCTCTCCTCTTAAATTGTTTATAGATTGATTTGGTCTGATTTGAGTTTGATTCAATTTGACTCACAAAAATCTTGATTTGTTTGATTGTCTAGTGGTTTAACTTGTAATATTATAATTAGATTAGACTAAAAAATAAATACATTAATTGACTTTACATACTTTCCTTAATCGTTGGAAGACTTTCTATATCTATTAAAATGATGACAATCTAAATACCAGACATAATTAATGAAATTGATTCGGTATCTTAATTATCATATATAAATAATTAATATCAAGATATTTCAACAACAACAACAATAACCATTTTACGATCAAAATGATGTAGTTTTGCTGTAGGAAGTTTAAATCAATTCAAATTCTAATTGTATCATAATTATAGACATCCTAATTATAGATTGTATTATAGTCAAACTTAATACTATAATAATTTTATATTATATGATTACAACTATTATAATTACCACTCTCATTCCAATGGTGCTATAATTATAAAATTTCTATTTATCACCAGTTTATAATTAAACCTATTCGTATTCTAACAATATTGCATCACTACAAAAAAAAAAAAAAAAAAATACAAAAAAAAAAAAAAAAAAAAAAAAAAAAAAAAAAGTCATTTTGCGACTGATCAATCGGTCGCAAAATGGCTCCCATCGGTCGCTAATTTACCTTAGCGACCGATCTGCGACCGATATGTATCGGTCGCAAATTACGTGATCGCAAAGGTCTTTTACGACCGATTATTTCATTGGTCGCAAATTAGCGACCGATATAATCGGTCGGAAATTTGAATAAGTGGTCGCAATTTTTGGTTTTGGTTTAATTGGAAACTCTGTCGCAAATTTGGTCGCAGAAAGATCTGTCTCAATTTTTTTAAATCGGTTGCAAAATGTAAATATAAAATTTTAATTTTTGGTATCAAATCGGTGGCAAATCGGTCGCAAAAGTGAAAAAAAAATTAAAAAAAAATTAAATATTATTATGAAAGCATAATTTTTCCGCACCTGTGAAAATTGACATATATACATATATATCACACCCGCAATTCAAGGACAATATAAAAATATAATTTTTATTGTACTGAACAAATTAAAATATTAAAATACAAATGAAAAACTAAAAAGGTCCAAAATCAAATCTATGCTGAATCAATCTATGCTGCTGCTCTCTGCAGGGATCCGAGATGTCGGATCTTCCCGATTGTCGGATCGCCGGGAGGAGTACCTGCTGGATGGTGATGTTAGCCCAGGAGGGGGTGACCAAAGGTATCGTCTGCAGCATCGGGATCAGGAGCTGGTAGTGGCTGCTGTTGAGACGTCGAAACATTTCGGTCTGTAGCAGGCGCAGGATTACAGGAAGAAGTACCAGCATCGGGCTCACTGGACAGCCGCATCACATGCGCTCTAAGCTCTGCAATCTGTCTCTGCTGATCATCAAGTTGAGCTCGTAATTCAGTATAGTGCTCGTTAGTGTGCTCGGGCTGTGGTCTTGCGCTGGCTGTAGAAGCGTGAGCTGCTGAGCCGCAGTAAAACTGTGATGCCTGAGACCCGATGCCGTATACCTTCCTCTTCTTCTCGCCCCCTACTAACCATCCTCCAAAACATACCACTAATGTAATGTCAATTTATGCTTATAACTTAACTAAATTATCTATAATAAGGGTACTATATATAAATGCTAAAATCACTAAGTTCATTTATTTCACTAAGTTCAATTTATTTACCTTTACCCTAATCAAAGGTAAGTGTACGATTCCACATATTGAATTTTTTTGAAAAAAAAATTCTGGCAGCACTTCGGCACAACTCAATCAAATCTCCAAATACAAAAACACTTTCAATAAACACTCATAAACACTCCTATATCATACCAACATTCTCCAAAAGCAAAATGGCCACTATTAGGCCTCCAACCAAACCAAACGCATCATTCATTTAAAAAAAAAATTTAAGAATAATAACAACAAGATAGCAAGTTTGATGCCTTAAATTGGTAGAAAACAAATATTCTGAAGTTTCGAGTTACTTATCAAGGATGGCTCATGATATATTATGTATTTCTGTTAATACAGTAGCATCCGAGTCTACTTTTAATGAAGGAGGTAGAGTACTTGATCAATATTGTAGCTCTTTAAAGCTAGAAACAGTTCAAGCTTTAATATGCACAAGAGACCTACATTTTGATTTTAAAGTTACAAAGTCAGTAAAGGTACTTTATTTTATTATAAATTTTATTTATAAATTGTCTTTAGGTATTTCTTTTCATTTCAAATTTATTTCTAAATTATTATTAGGTATTTATTTCATTGGGAACTTATTAAAAATTGTTATTAGTTTTATCAAGTTAAAGATTAATTAAACAACTATATGATATAATATAAGGAATGATTTAATGATTAACTATATTTGAATTCAACGGATAATCTCTATAAGATTTATAATGTACTAAAGAATGTGGTGGAAAGGCACCTATTGACAAAGTCAAGGGATTGAAACTATTATGTGATTTGGTGTTACGAATATACTATAATATTTTGATGTTATTTAGATATCTTTTCTTAGAGAATTTTTTAACAATAAAATAAAATTTTAAAAAAAAAACAAAAAAAAAAAGGGTACGAAGACAGTTTTCATTTTCACATTAATAGTTTGTTTTAGAAGGTAAAGTAGTAGTTTGGGAGTGGGCAGAAAATATAAACCAAATCTTTAAATCCATTTTTTTCTAGTTGCTCTTTGTCGTTTCTCTCAAGCAGTTGGCTGAATGCCAATCCATTGAAAATCAATTCATCAGGTTCCGATAACAATAGCGGGAGCAATGTTAATGGACAAGTCTGGAAGAAAACCACTAATAATGGTACATAAATAGACTTTTTTCCGTTTTTTTTTTCTTCCAAGAAGTTATTACTTTGGCTTATATCTTATATTCACAGATAAATCTTGTGAGTAATTACTAATATGCTTTTGCATATATGTGAAGGTTTCTGCAGCTGGGACATTTTTAGGCTCCTTTATGGTTGGAACTTCTTTCCTTCTCAAGGTAAGTCCCCATAACTGTTAATTACTCTATATTAACACTTATTTGAAGATATTAATTTATGTTAATGATTCTTATTTAACCAGTCACTCAGTTTGTTGCTTGGATGGGTACCTATTCTAGCTGGTACCATTCTAGCTGTTGCAGGAGTACTGCGTAAAATTACCTACAATTACTCCAATTTTCCATAAAATCACTCAGCCAATCTCCAGGAATTTTAAATTGAATATACTATATATATTATATATATATATATATATATATATTATTATATAATCCTATTGATAATAGTTATTATTATTTGACATAATATTTTTTAGGTTTATTTGTTTTAGAACATTGGCCCTCACATTTCTGTGGAGAAGTTATACTATAGTCAAATTGTTTACAAAAAGATCCTAATTCGTATGACCGTTTAATTACTCAGATTCAGATATTAAAATATTTATAAATTAATAAACAAGGTTTACACATAATCTCTTTTGTTGGTATCAGAGCCTAGGTGATTTAGAACTACTAATTGGTATACATATAAAGACTCCAAATTATAATATATCATAGATTGTCTTGATATGGTTCCATTGAACTATACACCTAAGATCCATTTGAGATATCAGATACAGTTATTTTGAACGTGTGTAAGTTCCCGATTTGATAGGGCAGTTGAAGGGTATAACCTGGCCCGAATTCTTGAGATATCATAACGGATTTCTTTTGGTGTTTAGTATACCGGAACCACTATCATTTAAAATTATGTTATTTCATAAAATGGATCCTTTATTATGTAGATCGGTCTAGTTAGTAATAGATCTGAAGACTCAGATTAAACTTTCCGAAATTTAAAAAGGGTAATAAATAGAATGAATTAATTTTACAAGATTTAAGGTTAAAGCTATTGATGGAATGGGAAATTCCTAAGTGATAAAGAAACAAATTTATAAAAATTTCTAAATTTTAATTTATTTAAAACTGATTATGTTATTAAAACCGAAGAAAGAGATTTTCAATTAAGTAAACCTTTTGAAAGGATAACTCTTTTGTCTTTCTAAAACTTTTGCAACATCATAAAAGTAATAAAATATAAATATATTCATATAGGATTAATTCAAGTAGGAATAAAACCTTTAACCAGAGAAGGCATTAAATCTAGTATTCTTGCAGTTAGTAAGAGATGCTAGATTTTTAAATTTTCAAGGGATTCTTTATTTAGGCATCAGTTTGAGACTAGCTTAATGAAGACCCGATCTCCTTTGAGGTCTATCCCCAGGATGATTACGTGTCTCATTAAATGATTTAATATTTTAGAAAAGTATTAGTATTGGAATTTAAAACTCATAAATTATAAAATGAAGCAGGATCGATTCCATAGGCTTTAATTTATAAAAATTCATATAAGGGCAATGAATTCAGCTTTTGGTACTAAATAATAATTAACAACCTTAAAAATTGGTGAAACCAGATTTCTTCAAACAGATTTAACTAAAAACCAATACGGTGTACCTAAAACAATCAATGGAAAGATATTTACTCTTCCAGATGAATGGGATATTGGAAGGGGTCGTACCTCCTCCTGAACCAGGGAACCAGTAAAACCAAATGTCGAATTTGCAAAAAATTGAACAATTTTAAAGTGGTAAAGTTACCATTAAAATTCATCGCAGTAAAGTTATTGAGATATACAGGGTCATCTTCCTTCCATTACAACGGATGAAGATGATAAACCTAGTTCATGCCATTACCTTCTGTGATTTATGCTTATAATATAAAGAACCTCAAAGTAGAAAATAAACCCATTATTCAAACCTTAGTAAAACCCAGATATTCTACTTCGGATATTCCAAATAAAATGAAAGGAGTTGATTATAGTCATTCTATCCAACAGGCAGTTTATAATCCTGTAGATAATTATGTTAATCAACAGTCCAACTTAGTATATACATCTCCAGAAACAGCTTCAGCTATAACTGAAAATGTTAGTGATATCAACAGAGAATTAAATGTCCTTAGTAAAGACGATATTGAAAAAGGTTTAATAAAAGAAATAACTAAAACTAGGAATTTAATAAAAATAAAAAAGATATTAAAAACTTATACTTTCGGCGAATTAAAATATGAATATTTAGATTATAAATTAAATAACTCAATAACCCAAACTGATAGTGGATTTTTGGCAAATCCACAGCCATCAACGGATTTGATAATTCTTTACCATCTACCGTTTGAGATGGAATAGCCGTATCATGAGCGGATACGATCGCTCAAGATAATGATGATTATTAAGTTATTAAGTTATTTGTGCACCTTAAGTTAAACCCAATTAAGGTTTTGAAATTATTTGTGCACCTTATAAAATTGCTCAAGATAATGATGTAAATAAAAAAATAATTGAACAAAATAATTTTAGTAATGCAAGTTTAATTTGTTTAAACTCACAATTAAAACGAATAGAACATATGTTAGAAGATAAACATAAACCTTTAGTTATGGAAAATACAAAAGGAAAAGAAATAGTAAAATCTTCACATGTTTAAACCTTACCAAATTTCCTCACTCAAGCTTAAAAAAGAATTGTAAATAAATTAAAAAGATCAATTAAGTAGACTTCAGGTAGTAGTTCTGCGACTATTCAACAAGTAGCTCCTGAGAAACTCCTCCAAGCATCTGTAAATATGATAGAAGAAAAAACACCAACTCTTTGATGTTTTAGTGAAACCTGACTCAGAAAATTTTAAACAATTTGAAATCAATTCCTATATAAATCATCATAGAGAAATAGTAAAAATGAGAGCACCAGGACTTAGGGGAATTGTTGTTAAACCTAATACTATATCTCAATTAAGTTCTGAGGTACTGCAGGTTGTCACGATCTTGGTGTATGGGCGTTGTCCTGGTGTATGGGCGCCGCGACAGGGACTTCGTACCGCATTCTTGATACAATGGCTGCAAATGCTTATAAAACACAGTCAATCATTTCTGATAAAGCTATAGCAGAAATCTTAATTGCTGGATTTACTAGCCAACTTAAAGGATGGTGGGATTATCATCTCACTGACCAACAACATTTAGAAATCCTAAATTCAATTCAAATATATGATGAAGGTGAACCTATATATGATGAAAATGGTGAAGTAATTCAAGATGCAGTGAATTATGAGTTTAAACCTTGTAGATAAATACGTGGGCTCTAGTGCTGGTCTGGCCTACAGAAACGAGTCGTGACAGATTGTTAATAATGATAGTTTCATTGATACTTTTACAAATGATTATTACATATGACTTATAATTGAGTGTAGAAACATATTTGTGATGAACTCCAACAACAACTTGGCTTTTGAAAAGAAAAGTTTTTAGCTGGGTTACCTTATTTCTTGGGAGAAAAGAAACATATTAAACAACAAACATGGTCAACCTTACCCTATAGTAAATTAACCTATGACAATTAATTAGTATAATTCAAAAGGAAGGCTTTTTTAACAAAAAAAATATGTCGATGATCTAAAACTTCAAAGAATTTTAAATGAAAAATTTTTGAAAATAATTTTTCGGGTCATTTCACATATAATTTGCTAAAATGGTGTTTTAATGAATAAAAGAAAAAAAAAAAAGGAAGTAATTTTTTATGGTTTTGTACCTCCGCACTTTATTTTTAGTCGCATGAATGCAATGGTTTCTAACATAAGATGCTATGCTAGATTCTAAATAGATATAGACATACGATAGTTTTAGTTAAGACAATTGGATTTTATTATTTTTGGGAGTAAATAGATTTTTTTAGAGATTAATATATATATATATATATAACTAGTTCAATGGTCTTTTAAACTTTTATCAGATTGTTTAACTAGTTCATACCAATCAAAGAATTTAATAAAAAATTACATGAATTAAATTTGGAAGAAAATGTTTTAAATAAAATATACGAACTCTATATTGATTCGGATTCCTCGGAATCTGAGACTAATGAAAGTGAAGAAAGTGAAAATCAAATTGATGAATTAGGAACTAATACAAGTTCTTCCAGTTCATCAAAATATTCTTTAAACATGTTATCTAAAGATCAAAGTAATTTATTAACAGTAGTCAATGGTATTGAAGATCAAGAAACTAAAGCTAAACTTCTTAAAAAACTAATAAAAAGTTTTGAAGACGACAATGAAGTAAAAGATATTACTCCTAGAATTCAGTCTAATACTTATGATTTAACTACCATTTTAAATAAAAATAAACCTCAAAAGGTAAATGCGGATGAATCTACTAAAGAATTATATAAAGAAATTAAGATGCTAAAAAATGAAGTAAAAGAATTAAAAACCCAACTTCAACAAAACTCTAAAAAAATAAAAATACTAGAATCCCAACTTATTTCTAGTTCTTCCTCCCAACTTATTTCCAGTTCTTCCTCAGAAGAAGACGAATCAGATAATAATTTAAATGGACAAATAAATGAATTAGATGAAGATGTAGATTGTAATTTTCTCAATCTATTACAAGAAATTACTTCACGAAAATATTTAGTAAAAATAAACATTCAAATAAAGGATTTTGTGATAGATGCAATTGCACTCTTTGACACAGGTGCAGATTTAAACTGTATAAAATCTGATCTAGTTCCTAAAAGATATTGGTTAAAGAAAATTAGAGTACAGCCAACCAAATCTAAACTTGAAGAAATTATAGAAAAACAGATGCAATAATTCAAGGATCAAGCCTTAGAAATACCACACAGGTATTTTTACTTTCACCTCAGATAAATGATGATGGTAATATTAGGCACTCCAGTTAATAAATGCTCATCACTAATAACACCATATTCAGTTAAAGAGGATTGTATTAAATTTAAAATAAGAAATAGTACAGTTAAGTTAGAATTCACTGAAAAACCTAAGAAGAAGTAATTAAATCTCTTAAAAGCTCATTCAATTAAAATATTAGAGATCAATTCTTTAATTAAATCTAGAGAAGAAGATTTCAAAGATACAAGAAATAATATGTGTTTAAACAAAATTAAACAACAATTAGAGACTAAAGAAATACAAGATAAAATCACAACATTAAAAGAATATATGGAAAAGGAACTATGTGCTGATCATCCACATGTTTTTTGGGATCGTAAACAACACATAGTAGATTT